TCCATCTTCTGGCCTAAAGCAAAGTGAGGTATCTAGACAGTATCTGACCTACGCGCCTATTGACCGCCATTATTAAGAGAACGGACGAGGAGCCTTGCTTAGATGCGACAGGCTAGGTATTAACCACAGCACAGATGAGGATGAAGGGGGTTGTACCAAATCTCCACAGAGAGGGATGGTACATCAGAGGAGATGGATTGAGCTTCCCATAATACCGAAGGCTAAGGCATGGATCTGGTGTGTGGTATAATCAGTGGTTGTTGCAGGATCAAACTCCGAGTACAACCATATCAGGATTAGAAGGTCAGCCATGTATCGAAACCTACGATGAATGGACGGAACTTCATCCTTCATATCTTCGAAAAGGCGAAGAAGGAGAAAATGGCGATCCACTTAAGAAACGTAACCCGAAAGCCAACACTGAAATATTCACTAAGCAGAGAAAGGTGACCTAACAAAGGGGGGGCGGGGGGCGAATCTATATTAGCATTTAAAGGGAAGGACGCTATATTACAAGCTCGTGAACCATTGGGACACTGTTTCATGTTTTCTGGTTAATTTCTGGTCAATAATAAAACTAGAAGGAGGTGCGAAATGAATTTGGTTGGTGTTGGTGGTTTTCTCTTCATATGCATCTTTCAAGGGCTGCGGGTTATCAAACTCAGTTGGCAAAGAAGAGAAACGACCGGCGTGTTTTATTGGAGTCGCCTAAATCGCTTCAGTACTTACAGCACCAATCAAGCAGTTCTTTCGGGAACTGATAAAACTGAAAAATTGAGCTGATTTTAGCCTTGTCACACACAGTTTAACACTTTCTCTTCTACAGTTTGAACTCCTTCTGGCTCTTAACTCCATTTTTCCAAACCTGCAGGCGACCTTAGCGACAAACAAAGTTTACTTTTTATTTAGCTCAGTTTTGTTTTATTGAATAATGCATACAGCTTGTTTCGATTGTTTTAGTTAAGAGCTGGTTTTTATTTCCTATTTTGATGTAGTTGTTGTTGCGCATTCACCTTTCCTTTCATTTTTTATTAACTAACTGCTCGCTGATTATGCAGCGCTTGAAATGTACTAAAACTGTTTTTGGTTGGTTTATTTTTTTTGTTGGACATGTAATTTCGCCGTGCCAATAGCGTCATGCCAGCGGCACCCCACGACCCCTCACATCCGCCGCTTGGCAACAATTGCCGCCGCCTGTTTTACAATTCATATTTCCTTTTATGAGAATTTGTTTTTGTTCTTCAACGAACAGTTAGTTGCCAACGCTTTCATTCTTCTTCTTATTTTTCATACACTTGATTTAACTACTTGTATTACTACAACTAGTGTTTTTTTGGCAACTTTTTTTTTTTTTTTTGCGTTCCCCATTCCATTCTGGTTCACTGAGAGCTGCTCGCTACTTTTTGGCAGCGATCGACAAAATTGTCAAAAAAGTTTTAAACAAATAATTAAGTGGAAATTATGTTCAGTTGCGACTTTTGTCATTTTCGTTTTCTCTCTCCCTCTCGTTCTTTCGTTCTCTCGTTTAGAGTAGTGTTCTCCAATCGCCAGCAATAGTTGAGCGTGTATTGCATTGTAATTTTTGATTACATTCATTTATTGTAGTAATGTTTAATAATAGTTTTCTTTCGCCTTTCTCCCACCACCTGAGCGTTATGGCTACTGAGCGTATGGTTTTGCTCAAGTCATGCGAATGTTGGCTTTTTTAGCTCCACTGTTAAGCAAAATATGCTGGGTGTTGGTGCCAGAGGGTGAGAGGGTGAGAGAAAAGTGGGTAAGGGGGTGAGTTTTGTGAAGTAGTTACTGGCAGAAAATTAGTTTGAAGCCTTACAGTATTGTTCTTTAAGTGATTGTAATGTTAATTGCCTAGCCAAATGAGTTGCAAATGAAAATGGTTCATAAAAAGTTTTTCGATGAATAGCTGAACGAAAGAACAAAGTTTGAGGAGTTCGAATATTGCTGTAGTACTGTGTATAAAACTGAAAGTGCCACAAATTCGTATGCACTAAATAGTGATTTTACAATTGTTCTTAAATTGGTATTTTAACAAACATTTTACTAAGTTCGAACCAAAAAGGTGGTCCATATTGTTCGAATAATATCTATTAAATATCTCCTCTAATAGCCAAACAACAATCAGCGCCTTAGAATCGTTATCAGTTTTTCAATTCATTCAAATTGCCTCACAGACCCCATCGCCTCCTACCACTACGAGTTATTTGTTTGCTGGACGGAAAGGTGGAATCATCTAAGCGTTTTCTTCTCAGCTGACCTGGTCCCGCTGGGTTAAATTTTAAACACTCCAAACCGTTACTAAGACCACCAGGGAGCTCTTTTGGGTGGATACTATCTGCTGAACATTAAACTCGCATCATTTTCCTGTAATCTTCATTGTCAAACACCTATGACCATCGCGGTGCTGCCACCTAATCTAATCCAATCGCACACTTAATGACTATTTTGTGGTACGATCGACAATCTTTGGTATTCATTTAGAGCCCATTGTAGCCTGCGTGTCAGACAAAGAAGATTAATCTATATTTGTATAACCTGAAATACGATTCCAAAGTTAAAGTTAAGTTTGTATACCTCAAAAACCCTACAATAAAAGCAATAAGCTTTTTAAGCTTTTCACGTTAAGAGTAAAAAGCATAAACTATTTTTTTTAACGCTGATTTCGTATTTGGACTCGATGAAATTGTTCTTAAATTGATTAGCCTTCTTTGATTGACAAATATATTCTTGTGAGTTTTTGCTTGGCTTCAGCAACCCGCTTCAATAAATTGAAGGAATAAAATATGAGGGTAGTACTAAATGATATTAAACATTCGTTTTATATATTTTGCTTGGAAAATGAGGACTGTGTCCCCTATGCAGTCCCAAAGATAAAACGATTTTATTTTGATTAATTGGACGATAAACCCTAGTGCCCAGTCGATGAGGAAGTCGACGTCTCCCCACCCGTCTTTCACCATTCCGCTGCTGAAAAAAATAAAGCTGCTGGTGATGATGGCCTGCAAGTATGGCGACTAAAAGCTGGTAAGACGCAAGATAAACTCTTCTGCCGACTGGAGTTTGAGTACGAATCCCCAAACAAGACGACCCAGCCACAGTTGCCTTCTAGAGTAGGATCAGCCTCCTAATCAGCCTAAGTCCTTAAGGTATAATCGAGTATAAAAGGAGAAAGCCCACCTGAAAAATTCGTAGACCAGGTATGCGCCATACACCAAATTTTAGCTAATAGTTATAAGCGAGGGAAAAATCGGCACGCACAATATTAATAAATACTTTCAAAGCAGATTTCTATAGCAGGAAAGTACATATGTTACCCAAATCCTACGTAGTCTGAAACTAAAATGGCTGTGTAAGATGACATATCACCAGCTCCGTCGGAATGGGAAAGGACGAATTGATGAAGAAATATGTTTTATGCAGGAAGACTGCTTATCGTGTGACTTTACAAGTCTCTCGTTATGCCCGTACTGATATATAGGTGCAGATTCGTGGACAATGTCAACATCTGATGAGGCCAACCTTGTAGAAAGATGCTGCGAAAAATTTACGGGGTTTAACGCTTTAGCAATGGTGACTACTATAGATGATTGAACTAGGAAATATATGAGCTCTAAATTGACATGGAAAAATGTATGTGGTACGGTGAATTGAAATACAATGGCCAAGCTGTCTGGACACAAAAGCTCCAGCGTGCTTTATTAGACTCGGCCAAGCTCTCTAAGGAAGTTTCAGCGCCATACAAACATATGACGCATATTATTAGAAGACGAGGTGTGAACATGCCAATAATATTCAAGATCTTTATGAGATCTGAATCTGTTTGTGCTTCAGTCTCCAGAAAGTTCAATAGAAGACAAAGGGTTGATTTTACCTCATTGTGGAGGTTAAAATTAATATTGCAAGTATGCCATGGAAGGACGAACGACATGAATGGGCACTAAAATCTTTCAACACCTCAAGGCCACCGGGTAATAGCTGCATTGAAAACCTTAGAGGTGCCATATCGATCACTGAGTTCCATCCACATTAGTTGCAGTACGGGTTTAGATATTGGCTAGGCCTTTTTACAAAAATCTGATAGAAGCTCTTATTGTCACACTAATAAATAATTTAGACCAATCTTGTTTGCTACCCTTTTGATAGACCACTGGAACGAGTTCTCCGTAAGAATCCGGATTTTTTTGAGATCGTCTACCAGTCAGTCGTTAGTTCTCTGAGTAAACCGGGGGATCGAAATCAACCTATTGAAGCTTTGTAGCAGAGCTGTCGTGACAATTATTCGAAGCCTTTACGTGTTAATAAAACATAATTGAATTTAGTGCACTCGCCACTTTTGTTGGTGACACTACCATACAGAATACGCATTCCCATTAAGCTTGAAATTAAGCTTCTACGTTGATTGCATTTCTAAAGAAATAAAGCTTTATCGTTCCCACCCAGCAGTCGTTGAGCGAAATATCAAAATTAGCAAATATTTGACGGCCATTAAGGTCTACATGACATATCTACACACACACACCCTTACCCGTGTTGAGAGTACTTAAAAAGAGGCTGAGTTTGCTAGTTAAGCGTCTGATGGCGCGAGCCTTCAAGTACCAGCATTTCACAAAGCAATTTCAATTTAACATCCATTTTGCTGTGAATCGAAGTTTGACTGACGCAGCAGCTTGCATTTATGAGCATCCTGCACTACGTACAACTTGCGTGACTAACCGGACATTTCATAGCGCGCGCTAACTGCCAGCTTAACGCAGTCCAAAATGAGATTGCGTAGACCCGCTGCAACCGCCGAAGAGCACGCACATAGAAACGTCCAATGCATCGGCACAAATAAGAATGAATGCGCACATAATCCTCGAGAGCATTGTCTTTACACGCACGCCAAATGAGCGAGTGAGTGAGTGAGTTGGGGGAGAGGGAAGGGGTCGGTTGGTGGTTGGTGGTCGGTGGATTGCACATGGAAAAGCTTACACTAAGGTACTTACACTCGCTGCGGCCCGCAATGGTGGAGTGCGCTAATGGCGTCACTTGATAGCTATCCCCGTCGCTGCCATTGCCGCCACCACCACCGCCGCTGACGCCTCCAAGAGCTGATGTGACATGATAACCATAACCATTCTGTGAGCCATAGACGGAAGCCGCAGATTTCTGCTGTTGTTGCTGTTGCTGCTGCTGCTGCTGCTGATGCAGCTGTTCTTCGGTGTCCTGCACGGCAGTGAGTGTCAACTCCATCGCATGTGAGTCTAAGGATTTGCTGCTATCCAAACTACCGGTGGGATAGTAGGGTGGTGGCGCTTGATTTGTTTGCGCCACAATAGACGGACGACCCGAGTCGAGGTCGTATTCTTTGGCGGATGAGTTGGTGCTGGCCTTCTTGTTGGACGCAGCACGTCGACAGTGGAAAAAGACCACCGAGAGTGCGACGAGTAGCAGGAATGCGATGGATGAGACGATTATGGCTATTACGGCGGATGTCGTTAGCGCTGACGAGTCGGGCATGTATGATTTGCCAACTGCGGTGATGTGATAAAAAGCGTCGGAATGACAGTGATGGCGCGTTGCGGATTGATGAATTACGGTTGGAGGTGGCATGGAAAGAAGAAGAAAAATAGAGACAAAGACAAAGTGTTATGCAAAATGTGGATATGAAGTGTAAATTCTTTTCTTGCACAAAGGAACAATTAAAGTGGCTGGGCAGTTACTAGAATGGATATGATTTGTTTCGATATAAATTGCAATAAGTTTTTGCGGGAAGAGCGGGAAGTTGTAAAAGCAAAACAAAAACAGTTTCAAGGGGCATAAATATTCTGACAAATGTAGATGATAGAGAGAGAATTTGACACCAAAGAACTCAGCTTTATAGGGAACATAAAGTAAAATAACATATTCGAAGAACAGAAAATTATAAAACAAAACGTGGATAAAATCTCAGCCTTCGCTTCTTCATGGAGAAGTTCAGACTCCAGATACCTCTGCACGGGTAATTATCAGCTTGGGATTCCCCAGCCGACTCGTCGGCTAACTTTGATTCGGATCTGCAGTCTCAAAACTCACCATTCTCTATGACTGAGAGTAGCACCTAATTGTGCCAAGCTACTGATGGATGATGACGGCAAATTTAACTTTCAGGAGGTACTAGCTGTTTCCTCTCCTTATCCAAGGTGGACACTGGTATCAAAGATGGAGACAATAATGGCTAAGCCTGGCCCAAAACAGGAGAGTACCGGTACGAATAAATCCGTAAAAGGAAATTTTATGTGCATCCAACTGATACTTGCGAAGTTCCAAAGGACCAGAATACCAAAGGTGCCACGCCGGTGCTGAACCTTAGAATACTATACTGCAAACTCATTATTCGGCTTGCAAATTACGGAAAGAGCCACTACATAAACTGCTATATAGCACCACAGATTATGACTGAGAAGTCAGTATGGTTTTTTCCATCCTCTTTTGACTAATTTAAGTCACCTGGGACAGATGGGTGTGTATCAGAAGATGCGAAAGCTTATAGGGGATCTTATGATACTTTTTAGGATCTGTATGGCCTTTATCCATATTTCCCGTATTTGAAAGCAAGATAGGGAAGTGTTCATACCCAAATCGGGGAAGAATGATAATGAGCTCGCAATAAGTTTCGGTCCAGTCTGTCTGATATTCTTCATGTCGAAGAACATGTGGCACACAGTCGATTGCCTTGTACCACAGAGGATATTGGGAGAGGACGTACAGCTCACCTCTATTGTGGGGTTTAACAGTGGACTTCCAATTAACCGCAATGCAAGATTTCGATCACTTCGCAGACCACTCTGATAATGTTTGTGCACTAGCGCCAGGGAAGTCCCTCAGGGAGATCTATGTAAACACACAGAGGACCCATAACAGGTTAGATAATTGATGCCACTTTATACGGTTTTGCTATCAACCCTAACCAGACAACCATATTCTTGTTTATATATCCGATTTTATCAGACTGGTCGACAAGCAGAAATATGGTAGCGTAGAATCATGGCCAAAAATGGGCTCTAAAGGAGCGTGATTAGATTTGTTGGATTGGCCAACCCTGGCCTTGCCGATGGAATAGGACTTTGGACTTGGCACTACTTCTGACTCCCGGGGTTTATTTTGGAAAAAGATTATGGCGGTGGTTTTCTTACAAGAAAGTAATGGAAAAATGGAAAATTTTCTGATTTCTTCAAGACTCAAAATTGAGTTTGAGCTGGTTGGCATCTGAAGGGTAACCTCAAATGAATTGGAGCTTACTATTGGACCAAGAATAGCGGGTACTTGTCATTGATCTCGTCATTAGGGCTCAATACAAGATTGTGCCCATCAGAGAGGCTTTTTGGTGGAGACAGTGTATAGACTGAGAGATCCAATTTCTTGCAGAGATGCATTGGGAACTGGCGAGACACACTCACTCTTTCTGGGAAAAGTACTTAGATTCCTCAAAGAGTCATATTAGACTTCTTTTCAGAGAAGTAATAATTCCCAACATCTACCTGTTATTCCACCATTGTAGTATCAAAAAACTATCCAAAACTCTAGAGAATCACTTTAAAAAACAAAACAACTAAAAAAGCGCAAGCAAAAAAAATATATTTTTACTTGCGATAAAATTTCTGTCGTTATTTCCTAGAGCGTACTGGGCTTAAATTGGTAAAAAAAACCTATTAGTTTTGCATGCATGCATTTGCAAAAAAATCTGCAAGATATTTGCATTGAAGGCAAAAAAAAAAGAAAATGGAATAGGTATTTGTTTCGGAAAAGCAAAACGGAATGTTAAAGGAAAGAACTAAAAAGCCAATACTCCGAAACGCCAATGCAATTGCGTCCATCTAGCTCTTCAACTAACTCACTAAATACAAAAATATATCCTCTATACTCACTCTCCGCATTCGCATACTGTCCGCAATGGTCGTGATTTGTGCGCAAACACAATTTCACGCGCACCGTCGGCCCTTGCGCCGTCTCTGCCAGCGCCAATGTTATGTCCTCTGCATGGCCCAACGTCCGACCGGACGCGCTGTAGTGTGTCGTTTGTGGAATGTGATTAATTACGGCTTCTTTGAATGTGGCCTCTGCGCCGGACGGCAGTAATGTCACCGTATCCACAATCTCCCATGTGGCCATTGGCGTTTCGCGATTCACCAACGATTCGACAATCGCAATTAATGACAGACATGTCGCCGCAACATTGATGCCCAAAACATGCGAATCGGGATCGTAGGTGACGTGTAGCGGCGGCGGAATTTTACTCACTTTTGTGGTGGCCAATGCTTCGTTTGAGTAACCTGAACTGCCTTTCGAATTGAGCGCATACACTTTGAACATATAGCTTTGATATTGATCCAACGGTGTCACTTTGCATGGATTCTCGCGATAGCAATCGAATTCTAACCAATCAGCTGAACTGATGCTGCTCGCACTGCCGCTGCTGCTGCTGAGGCTGCTCGCAATGGAGGTGGTGTAGGTGTGTGTGGCGCAATCGGAGAGGGTTTGCTCACGCGGCGTGGCCACACGGCGATAAGTGACAAGGTATTTTGTGCTCTGCATGCCACCATTGAAGCCCGGTATCCAGCTGAGTATCGCATAATTGTGCGACACTTCCATCACTTTCAAAGCGCCTGGTCGTTCCGGTGCACCCTTCGGTTGCAGTCTAATCTGTGTACGTATTGTGTCGAGTGGATTGACCGCGCGACAGGTGTAGTCACCGTAGTCTGAGTGTGAGATGTGGTTGATGCGTAGTATCGAGGTGTAGATGTCGTTGTTGTCCATGCGTGTGGCGATCTCGTAATGCCCATCTGAGGACATTGTGAGTGGGGAAGGATTGTTGCCGAATTGCCATTGGAACTCTGGCTTTGGATAGGCCTGCACTTTGCAGATAACTTCGGCCGATTCGCGCACGTCGTAGGCTACCTTGTTGTACTGATGCAGCACAATTGGTTCGTGTTCGATGCGCAGATGCATGCTGGAGTTGGCCGAGTTCACTTCGTTCTCATAGAGACAGGTGTAGAGTCCACGATCGGCGGGGACCAGCTGATTGCCATTTGGTCGACCCTTGCCGCGGAATTTCAGTATGCTCTGCACTGTGACTACACCTCCTTGGCCCTCGGTCGGCGTGGTGCGTATGTCGTACAACTTGCGGCCAGGCAGCACTTCGGTGCCATCCTTGATCCAGCGTATAATTGGCGTGGGCTTACCTTTCGCGCTGCAGGTGACTGCATAGTCCACATCGCCAACGCGCCGTGTCATATGCTGCTGCAGCTTGGCCAGAAACTGTGGTGGTTGATGTACTTCGAGAACGATGGTAGCCATCTTGCCGATTCCCAGCTCGTTCACAGCATGGCAGTGATACTTGCCCTCGCTACCGAGATGTGCCTTCGGTATGGAATACTGCGGCCCTTGCGCCAGTATCTTTTGTGTGTTGCTAAACTCACCATCCACATCGCGAAACCAACGGTACTGCGGTACGGGCCAACCCGGTGGACTGGCTGAACAGCTGAGCGTTACACCATTTCCGACATGAACGATCGGCTTATTTGGCGTTATGTAGGCTTGTCCGGGTCGATGCCGCACCAACAGCGCCACCGTCGAGTTGCCAACGCCCTCCACGCGCTTCGAGGTGTACGGAAGCATGATATTAACGGCGCGGCAAATGTAGTTGCCAGCGTGTTCGGCACGCACTGATACCAGCGTCAGCAGCTCACCGGTGAAGCGAAAGTCTGGCGCGCCTTCCTTCAGCCATTCGATGGTAATAGGCGGTGGGTTGGAGGTAACATTACAGCGTACCAACACGGTTTCACCTTCTTCGGCTTCGTGAGTTTTTGACTCGATGACAACGATGGGTGGAAAGAGTACGTCGAGCACTATATCTTTTTCGCCAGACTTTCCGAGTCCATTGTCGGCAGTGCAGGTATATTTGCCCGCGTGATGTCGCCCCACGCGGAAGATGGTGTGTGTGGGCGTGGCACTGACATATTGTCCATTGCGAGACCAACGTATGTTGGAGACTTTTGGCTTAGCGTCGACATTACACTCCAGCTTGGCAATTTGATCACGTTCGACGCGGAGCGGGTTTTGCGGTCCGATTTCGACGCGTGGGTAAACTGAAATGCAGGATAAGAGTTAACATTTAAAAATCTAATTGCATGAAATAATTAGTTGAAGTGGAATGTTGGATTGTGAGTTTGTATGTGTATTTAGAAGGGTTGCCATCTGGTTGAAAAAACGAAAAGGAATAAAATGTTTACAATATTTGAACAAAGTGATCAGAAGAAGCGTGCTTAGCGACTACTTAGTCCATAGTCCAGCATTGTTTTTAAATACAGTTGCCTTTCACATATGTTTAACACGATGTTAAAATATTGGTGATAATGGTAAATTTTTAGGTAATTATTTATTACGGATATCTCCTCTTTAGATGGCCACCTACCTAAAGGCAGAAACTAGTTAGCTAAATAAATTCTATACGAATTTGGGTATACAAATAAAATCAGCTACATACTGTTACATTTGTGCTAAGGCTTTTTCCAATCAGCTTCCTTAGTTCTCAAAACTGTATGTATGTGGATAGGGTTATCTAAGCGCAAATACACGTTTCATTCAACGTGGATGATCCACTGACTCCGTGCTTGAGTAAGTCGGTAATGTCTTTGGATTTCAGAAATATCTTTCTTTATTTACAATTATCTAATCTCATTTACAGTTGGCTAATATAACTTTTAATTGAAGCTTTATCATTTTATGGCGATTTTTATTTTCAATTGACACTTTCACATTTACTACTGCAAATGGCGTAGTTTGATACAGAGTATATTTCTGTTCATATTTTTGGTTTGGGAGGCGCCTAAAATACAACTCCCGAGCTACTAGGCGCCCGTGAACTGCCGGTTGGAAAGCACTGATCTCAACGAAAGAACCCAACGGAACAAGTATAATCATGAAAAATGAGGCAGAGTACAGAAGGCCATGCCGCATATTCCGGCACCACAGTGGCAATGAAAACTTGTCCTTCAGGTGTCTTATTTCTTACATACGTTCATATCTTTATTATGCACCACTTTAGTGTCTGCGGTAATAATTAGAGAAATGGGTTAATGGAAAGAAATAACGATGAGGCATAGTTGTTTGCCTTGGAGTCTTCTTCCCGTCATTGTACGATTGAAATGGGGAGTTTGATACCTTCGCCTGGATACATCATAGGTAGTAGGTAAATTGATGGCTCCAAAATGGAACGCAGCTTTGAAATAGTTTTTCTCTATGAATATCTAGGAATGTGGGTTATTTTCGCTGAAGGTGGCCGCTTTTTGAAGTTTAGTGACTTACTGCACTAACTGTAACTTACGAATTCCCACCCCCATCTATATATACATATGTCATTCCTCTAAATTCTGTCTCTTGGTCTTAAGTACAATGGACAATACGGTCGGAGTGCTTGGAAAAGTTTGTTTTTCGAGCCACCCATAATTCCATTGCATTCCATTCCAACTTACTGCACCACCAAGATCTACCTTCGTAACCAAATGGGTAGAGCTATATGTTGTCTATGCTCACTATGCTCTCAATCTAAGAAGATCTTGATACGTTTCTCTGGTCCTCAAACAGAACACTTTAATTTTCTTAGAACAAATTAAATGATGATCCCACCTTCGATCGGTTTGGAAAGTTCTTATTGAGCTGAACTCATTATTACAAGACAACACCACTCTGCGACTGCCAAAATGTACAAATCTGTACAACAGAACAATTCGTGTGAGCCCAGTATAGGGTACTTTGGATATAACAACAATAAATACTTTTACTGTTACCATCCGTACATATATTTTCGACAAGTTATTGAAAGCTTTTCACAACGCAATGAGATTCTAAAACCCAAAGTTTTGAAAAGAAAAGTCCATTACGCTTTTAATATTTTATACCGAATAGAAATACCAGACCTATGCGAAAATATCGAAGAAAAAAGTCGACCCAAAATAATTAAAACGTGATGAAAAGACTTAGATTAATCGATTCCCGGAAAAATCCAGAAATAAGCAGCATTTCCACTAGCCAACAAATGGCCACCAACGAAGTGGATTTTGAAGCATTCGATAGAACTAAATACTTTGCCCTTGCTCTACAGTCATTGTGGTGCTCTCGTGAGTAATAAAAATCAAGGAATGAAGCCGATTCAAAATAACGTTTCGGTTTCTGTATTGCCAAGTGTTTCAGTTTCGGTTTCAGTTTCGGTTTTGGTTTCGTTTTCGGTTTTGGAATAAAAAAAAATGAAAATGTGAGTTTTACAACTATACACGTGGAAATTAAAATCAAAATGACTTCTTCCAAATAACCGATGTCAGGTCGGAGATTTTATTTATTAGGCATCTTTTTAGCGAAAAGTTTTTTGCGAAAAGTCACTTTGTCATACTTATTTACTAATTAACAAGAATTTTGGCAAAATATAGCTGATTTTGGTTAAATATATAATTTATTTCAAAAAAAATTTTATTTACTTTGTCGATAAATCTAAATTATTGAAATTGAAGTAAAACGAAGTAAAATGAAGTGACGAAGTGAAGACCTCTAAAGTGAAGCGATAAATTTCAATTGAAGTGACAGTGGCAGCACTGCTACCGCCTTGCCATAAGTCACGATGTATACGAATTAAAAGTAAGATTATCCACATACTATTTAGTACACAAATTTGCCATGCAAGTAATTTTTCGTAAAACAGCACAGTTATGTTGCTGAAGAAAAAAAAAATTTTGGTCGGTAGATCCTGTAGCTGATTTTTATAAATGGTTTCGGTTTCGTTCCTTTTCAGGTCAAGATAAAATAAAAAAAATTGATAAAAATATTGATGCGCTATATATTGGCACATGTACTGATATACAAAACTATAAAGACTTGTGTTGGGACGATTGTCTTCCACTTGATTGGGAGTACACATTAAACGCAATCATTTTCCAAACTCAGAATTAATGCGAATATGCGATGGGCATGTAATTTTTTCACCACAATAACACTATCAACTGCCAACGGTAGCCAACGTAACAACATGTGTTAGGGTTCCCAAAACTAGGCAATGCATTTTTATCTAAAACTGGCTGTAGTAAATTATAATGTTGCTTTTCGCGATGGTTCCACTTCGATTCCACGCCAAAATATCGCTCGCGGAGGCATGCATCAATTTTTATACCCGCACTGGCATGCGTGTTCATAATTAATTTGCCATTGCTTCGGTGGTAGTGCTTCCCTCCCATTAACCTGCTCGCTCCACATTGCTCGCACGAAATTCGCCATATTTGCATCAATGCGACTTAGTTACTGTTGCACGCTGCGAAAATTGTCAAAATAGGTTTGAAGTCAACAAGCCGCAGGAACTGTCACAGGATATGCGGAAGCCGCAGGCGTAAATAACAACACCCAACTAACAACCAGGCAAGCGGAAAGGTAGCGCTCGGAGGTAACCCAACCCTTGTCGGTCGTTATGTGCTGTTGACAATGTTTCGCGTGCTGTCCTTCTCACCTCTTTCATTCGCGCTTGTCATCCTTGCTCACTCACACTGCCTGCCGCTCAATTAAATGTCGCTGGATTTTTCCATTTTTTTCTATTTTCATATACATACGTATTCATTATTGTTTTAAATACACAACATCCGCTGACGTCGACAGTTCACCATCCATCCCGTCCCAGGGCCGTCGGTTGGTAATGTGGCCGCCAAATGCCAGCGGCGCGCACACTGCAATGTAGGGAACCTATGCACAGGGCTAGGTCAAGCTATGTCGCACTGCGGCTCCCGCATTACACCATTTAAAACTCTGTCTACGCGAGTATGTTTAGCCTGATTTTTATGATCCGTGACGTTGGACATTTCCTGCTCAATGGGCGTGCGCAATTAGATGCATAAACTATGCAGTTGTTGTTGTTGTTCGTATGGTTGTTGCTGTTGTCGTTAATGTGCAACGCCCTACGGCATCATTCAAAATTAAGTGAAATTGTACGTAAATGCTGGTCATTAGCTGTGAGAAAACATATGTACATACATACATACATACGAGCTGTATGCGCAATGGCAACGTTAGCAGCTAAACGGACGCAGCTAAATATGAAAGGATATACATACATACATCCTCGTATGGAAGGACATACAATTATGTGGAAGTTAAACTTAAAATGCGAATGCGAAAAGTGCCAACAGGGTTCGGTAAACTTTGTTTATCGCTACGTAAGTGTTGATTTTGGGATCATAAATCAATATTATGTCACAGTTTAGAGTGGGCAGAGAAGAGTTAATCATAGCAACTGTTTACTTGCGAGCTGGTGAAATAAATACTCAAGCGGGGTGTACTAATAAATCGAAATGGCTACAAGCGCCGACTTCAATTAGTCTATGCGGACCTTATAAAATGCATTTATGCTAGGTGGACCTTCTATGGTAAGCCATGAAACCTTGCGATATGAAAGGAGTTTTGCAGATGGTTGATATTAGCCAGGGATGGCTCAACGCGGCTTATTTTTAGACCGTTGGATGGTTTCAGAGGAATGGCAATTTAAAAAGTCCACGACAGAACATTTTACAAGCATATTTGGATATGAGAAAATTATCCGCGCGATGGGTATCACTCACACTCGACCATAAACGCAACCGTGCTACCATTTCAAAGGAGTTTTTAGCGAAGTTAAGCCGCAATCTGAACGGGTTTTTGCGCTCTTTGGTTGCCATAGAGGAGGCAGCATGGAACCATCACACCACACCAGAGACCTACGAGTAATCAAGCTAGTGGAGTTTTCCAGGTGAACGTGGACCAAAAAGGCTAACAAGGTCATGACCACATTTTATTTAGGATGCACGCGGTGTCCTTTCCCTCGATTGCCTTGAATGTGGTAAAACGATCATCAAAGTGCACATGTAGTCAAAGAAATTCCCACATTCACCTTCCCCGTTGAAACCAGCTCTAGGGCATAATTATTAGGCAATCATCCGCCATATAAGACAAGCTAGACAAGAATAGTTAGAACTAATCGTAAGAGAGGGCAGACACTCTACAACCGACTTTAGGCGCACCGTGGGCAAGTGCAAGGCTCTCATTGCCGCTCTGTTGTCAGATCAGATGTTAGCCTCCG